TCCTTTATATAATCCTTCATTGCAAAAATATTTTAAAAGCACATGGTGGAATACTATATTATTCTGGTCTGATATAATTCCTACCATAAAAAATCGTACACGACGTACTACAGCAACTGTAGAAGTTGAGAACAATATTGTGAAAAACATGGATATAAAAAAAAGAAATCTACCAATTGATCAATATGTAAGATTGCGTGTGGAATCAATTAAATCTACACAAAATTTAGTTGCAGAACGATTATTACAAAAAATGTAAGTTTTATATTATTTGCTTATTTATTTTAGTTTAATTTTAGTTTAATTTTAGTTTAATTTTTTTTTTTATTTTTTTTTTCTTGCTTTAGTGTTAAACAAAATAGCAAAAAAGTTGAAAATGATGATCCTAAAGAACAATGGGACAAAAGAAAAAACAAACAATTAACAAAATCTGAGAAACTATTCCTAGAAAGATTTAAATCCACAGTGGATAAACGTAGGATTATTGGGGTGACTAGCCAAAAACAAATTGCTCATGAAATTTGTTTAAATTCTAGAACTGAAATTGGTTTCAATCAATCAATGGTTTCAAAAATGTATAATGGCACACATATACCTAAATGTAATTATACAATTGATGCAATTACTTTGTGGATTGCGAAGGAAGAAAATAAATAGAATATATTCAAAATATTTTTATCTTATATTTTTATTATTCATTACTTTCATTTATATTTTGTATTTAATCTAAAAACAATAATAAATATCATTTTGTATCTTGTTCTTATCTAAAAAAAATTTTTTTTTGGGGCGATAATTTTTGCGGATATTTTATTGTTTCATAAAATTTGCGGATATTCTGATGTTTCACGAAATTTGCGGATATTCTGAGGTTTCACGAAATTTGCGGATATTCTCAAGTTACACGAAATTTGCGGATATTTTTTGCGGATAACTACACGATTATAACCAAGTGTAATAGATTTTGGTAATGACAATGATCTGATACTGAAGTTACTGATGAAGAAATAACTAGCTGTGTAAGACCAACGCCCGAGACTGAGCCAGGAGATACAAAATACTGTGTTAAAAATCCTCCTCAAATCTTGAAACAAAGCTACGTTAGATAATTGATTTACAAAATAAATTTTATCATTGTGTGTGCTATTCACTTTGGTTGCAAGCATGCCCCATATATTCCTTTAATAGTGATTTAGAAATTAATTACAATAATGATAATAATTTAATAATTTAATAATAGTAAATAATAGTGATTTAACAATTAATTATAATAAATAAATAAGTGATTAATTTAATAATCTTCAACTTAAATAATCTGCATCATTTTTGCAAAAAGAGAAGTGCTAGCAAATGTTAAAGAATTAACAAAGAAAAAATCAAATTAATTTTGTCTATCAAGATTTGAGTCCATTTGAAATAGTATCTGGCAAAGGTTTTTGAGATCTTATTCAAAAAATGATTAGTATATATGTGGTGCTTTATCTGTTAAAAAATGTAGGTGGTGCTTTACTACCAATTGCTGGACAGATGATTATCAAATGATCAGTAATATATCTTTAACGGTATGTTATATAGAAGGTTGACATTTAAAAGAACATTTCATAATCAAAAAAATTTTTTGAAAATATATAATTTATATATTTGTTAGAGACTCTGCTTCTAATTTTGTTGCAGCTTTTAAAAGTCTCAATCACTTACATTGTATATCCCATAGGTAAATTTATATCTCTATTAAATATTTTATTATAATCAAAATCAAATCAAATTTATTTATTTTAGAGTTAATACTATATTGGAAACTTTTTTTAAAGAAGATAATTTTTTGCAATTTCCTTCTATCATCAAAGAATATAGGTAAAAAAGTTCTTTATATTGTAAATCGGAAAATCTCTTAAGCAGGATTCGGAAACTAGATGGAATAATAAACTAGAAACGTTAGATCGAAAAGAATTGAAGCAAGTGATATTGCTATTATATAAATTTTCTGAAAAAATTTCATGAAGCTAATGAATATTTAAAGGCATCAAAATATCCAACAATTCATCTTGTACTTCCTTTGTATAAAATTCTTTTAGTTCATTGTCATGTATCATCATCAGATGGAGAGAAATTTTAAAACAAATCAAACTGGTGGTTAATAAACAAAATTAAATTTCTTTCAATTGTCCAGCTTTTTCTTCAATCCAAGATCATTTGCAAGGAGAAAGTTGATTTTAAAAACATCCACCCCCACCTGGGATGGGGAGATTGCTAATGGATAGCAGTTACACCTCAAATAGTGAGGTCTTTGTGCACCACCTACAGGTGACTAAGTCAACTAGTTTATATTTGAGCTTTCCCAACAGGGGAATCAAGTCGGTGTATATTCTCTCTGAAAAAAGATCTCCAAATAGATTTTATATATAAATAATTAGCATTTACTCAACATCCAATATAATTGGATGTTGATCATCCTAAATTTGCTAGTATATTAATATATATATTTATTATGATTAAAAATAAATAAAATATTCTCCATAAATTTTAAAAATTGATTGATTGATTGATCATTTTGTTACATTATCAACTTTTTGTATGACAGAATTCAATAATGAATTACCATTAATAAATTGTGTGGTGGCAATAACATATTCACGATGACCTTTTTAAAAAAATTTTTTTTTTTGTAATTAATACATATAATGTATATATATATATATATATATATATATTTAAAAAAGTTCATTATTAACTAACCTTCATCTTGTTGTGCCAAAAATCTTATTGCAGAAATTTCAGTAAAAGTACAACCACCCAAGAAAAATATTAAAGTAACATGTGGTTGATGACCCTGTATCAATCCTAATAACAATGTCAAAGATAAATTTAATTAGAATTTTCTTTTTATCATCTAAAATTTTTTCCAATAATAATGATAATAAATAATCATTTACTTTTATGATGAATAGCACCATCATCCTTTTGAATTTCATCAAAAATTTTTCCTGGTAACGTTCTCATAACTTCTTCATAACCTTTCCATCCATTGCCTTTTAAACCAATAAAACCTCCGCTTGTAAAATTACTAATTACTCCACCTCCAGTATTACCAATTACTGATGGCCCACCTTTTGTTGTCACACATTGTATTAGACGTACACTCAATGGTGCATAACATGAATAGACATAGGCAATATCCTGAGGATTATGTTCATCTACATCATCAACAATTAGTTTAAGTGTCTTACGAATATAATTGTATGGATTACGTGTAGACACTTGTTTAATAAACATGTTTAATTTTTCAAGATTTAAAAGAGTTTGAATATGATGAAATCCATATGTCTTTTTTTGGGGGGTGAAGTATTAATAATGCATATAACTTAGTGATTGTTTTTGATGAGAAAGGACAATACAAATATTTATGTACAGTACCTGTAAAATTTCTTTCTTAAAAAACTCAAAATTTTTTTGTTTCAATCCATTATTAACCAAACTTTGTAAACATAATAGTCGTAAAACTTGTACTAATGGAACTTGTCTATTGATCATCTCTTCAATATATTCATTTTGCGAGTTTATGTCATTACCGGCAACAAGATCTACACACAATATTAATGTGTTTAGATATGTAAACGTAAATCATTAATTCAACTAATAACTTAATAATTAAAATATATGGTACATACTCTGTTGAACTTCAAGAGCTTTATTAAATTCAGGTGTAACGGTGTAGGCTACTATCTCTTCTGCAATTCCAGTGTCTAAATAATTTAATTAATTAAGGAAATATGCATTTCTTTTGATAAAGATATCACTCTTTCAGAAAATAAAGGATACGAGTTTTTAATGATTGATGTTCTGATTGTAATCCACCCAATTTACCAACAAACTCACGAACTTGTGACACAGTCTTTGCTTGATGTCTTACCTAAAAAAAAAATCAAGAATATATATATTTAATTTAAAAATAAAAATTCAAGTAATGTTTAGAAATAATAATTATATACCTCATAATCTTCATTAATTCTTTTGGCAACTTGGTTAAGAACTCCACCAACAACAGCAAAATTCATGTCTCTCAATCGGGAAAAAAGCTTATCACCTGAATTAAGTGGAATTTTCTTCTTTTTTGCTTGAGGTTGAGCAGGTGTTTGAGACGATGGTGTGCTTGTGTTTGAGAGAGATGAGTTGGCTGCAGGACTTGCTGTAGGATTTTGTGGTGTGATTCCCACCAATGAAGAATCAACTTCCACATGTGATGCTCGAATACCAAAAACTTCATCTATCAATCCTTCATAAGTTAATTGTGTACAAAGTGGTGTTATCAGATCAACAGAACGATCAATGATGATAAGAGAATCCACATTTTGGGAGACTGGCATTGTGCAAGATGGATCATCAACAGCCACTTCTCGGCGCATACGTAAGAGCATGTCTGCTAAATGCTGTGTAAAATACACATGCAAATTTATTAATAGATAAATAAATTATAGAATAAATTTTACTGCCATTGAATTCTTATCTCACCTTTGCACAATCACCTTTACCAATAACTCTTGGAAACAAACCAAATAAAGTTTGCAATCTCATCAAAGCTCTTGCTGCATAATATATGGAGGTGTAGTCACCATCCTTTAAATAATTACTAATTAATTAGATTTCAACAATCTTTTCCAAATAAAATTCAAAAAATTTCCATCCGAAAAATATACCAAATAAAGCTCTTTGAATGTATTGTCTAATTCCAATGATAATAAATCATCTTCAAAGGGTATCAAATCTAAATGATACTCGCCAATAGTTATATGTAAAAGAAAATTAGTCAAGGAATTCATTTTGTAAAATAAAATTTTTGCAAAGCAAGGTTAAAGAGGGAGGGAATAAAAATAAGGATATCTCCAAATACACCAGCTTCTTCCAAAACTCTAGTACAAATCATAGTTCTTCTTGGTACAAAAAATAAATTATATTCATATTTTTGACTTGAATTATTGTTATCAGGATTTTGTAATAGTTCTTTCTGATGGTATTGTATATGCTCTATAATACCAAAACTAATTTTTATTTAATTTTTTTTTTTTGCAAATAAATCAATCATCACATGCTTTTAAATACCAGCAATATATTTCATATAATGTAATTGTGGTCGACATATATAAATTATGCTTCTAAGTTCAGTGTCTAAAGGTCCTGCTTGAAGATAATGTACTCTTTCAACACCATGATCCTTTTTTGAAAAAAAATGATCAGTAATTAATTTTATTGAATTGAATTGATAAATAATGATTGAATATTTCACATACTCTTAATAAAGGAAATTCAGCAATTAGATTTAAAGGAGCACTAATATTTGGATCCAAAACTAAACATTTTTTTCCTCTAACCTGAAGAATTTTGATAATGTTTTATATTTGAATTTTTTACAATTCTTTGTAGCTTGTGAAAATTTTCAAACAAGTATATACCGAGTCCAAGACAGTAGTTAATTCTTTCCTAGCAAGTTCTCTCAAGGTGGTAACATTCAAGGAGGAATTAGTGGTTCCTAAATGAGACATTTTTTTTTAAGTAAAATTTTTTAATAAATGATGTGTGTGTCCTTATTATAATAGGACATAATGCAACAAACAGACAAAGTGAACATTATATCACTTAAAAATTTCAGGGTTCGAAATTTA